GAGTCTCCTGCCTCTGCCTCCCAAGTAGCTGGGACCACAGGCGCCTGCCACAATGCCTGGCTATTTTTTGGTTGCAGCCATCATTGTTGTTTGGCAGGCTGGGCTGGATTTGAACCTGCCACCTTAGGTATATGTGGCTGGCTGGCACCTTAGCCACTTGAGCCACAGGCGCCGAGCCCAAAACTATTTTAAATGAAAAGATGTTAGATGGTAATGTGTTATCTCTCCTTTGAAAGGGGTTCTTCAAAAACAGAACATTGAGAAATACTTGCCTGAAGTATTACAATAAATTACCTAATCCTACATGAAAATCAGTAGAAGTTCTGAGAGATAAATGAGCACAAGATAATAGCAAACAATTCAGAGGAGAGAAATACAAAAAGCAGGGAAATATTATGGAAAAAGTCCTTATTAGTTAATATTTGGAGAATAGTTATCAGATTGTGGTAAAATCTCAATACTCAATGTTGATAACCAAGTTGAACCACCTATTTGAACAAACATTATTAAAAGGCATACAAATGTACAAATTCTGAATTATTAATACCACTTATGACAATTATTCCTACACAAGTAACTATTATGCATAGTTTTGTCATTTTAATTGTAGGTTACCTATTATAGTATAAATATGAATTTCTTTAATGATCTACCATAGCAGAGTGACTAAATATAATAAAATTTCCACGATGGAAGTGCTAATACATCAAGACTACACTGTAACATGGTTTGCAATCTGGTTAACTATGAGATTATGTCTCCAGACCAAGCTTAGAACATATTGTACAAAAATGAAAACAGTTATGGTAAAAGGTGGAATTCTAGGTAGATTTCTTTCCATTGTAAAATAAATGTTCTGTGTTGTTTTCTCTGAGGGGGAGGGATAGGAGAGAAAGAGAGGGAGAGAGGCACCTTTCATGTTTGGATCAATTTTTTTTGACCCAGCAGGGATGGGCGACACACTGGCCACATTGGATGAGACAGATCTGTTTGGTGTTCGAGGGGAGCCTCCTGGGACTCTTGGTGAGGCATCCTATGTAAAAATAGAAAACCCACAATATAAAAACATGATTCACAGGAGAGAAATACAAAAAGCAGGGAAATATTATGGAAAACGTCCTTATTAGTTAGTATTTGGAGAATAGTTATCAGGTTGTGATTTCTTTTACCATCATAAAAGTTATTATGAAAAAA